TGGTTGCTTGGGGGAATGTGGAAGTTGGGGAAGGAGCAAGCAGCATGTGACAGTAGATCTGTGACCTGGACTCCACTATGAGCACCGTCTGGCTCGGGTGTGTGGAGGTGCAGGCTTTCCGTGGAGGCTATCTGCTTTTCCCGCTTGCAGGTCCAGTGCTTCTGGACCTCCTCTGGCTCTCACCAGCAAGGGTTCATCCAAATAGGTCACAGAAGAGGAAGTCAAAGTACAAGGAAGAGATGTGAGGGGGTCTAACTCTTCCTCAAAATACACTACTCTAGACAGACTCCCCGGCCTCTCAGGAGGAGAAGCCCTACCGGGGCACAAACAGCCCCGCTTTTTGAAGACCAAGCTAACAAACTGGAAAGAGAATGCGGTTATTGACTAGATGTAGCTACTGTTGACTGAGTCCCTAATGTGAGCTGGAACCGTGCCAGGCACTTTCTGCATAGGTCTTTTACTGCAATATCCCAATCTTATTAGGCCCATTTCACCGATGAGCAAATCAAGGATAGAAAAGATGAAGTGACTTGATTCAACTCACACAGCATCTAATTGTCAACAGAAAGTCTAAGCCCAGTCTGTCTGATAATTTAGCTGAAAATAAAAACAGATCTTCTTGGTCAAACCTTGGTTCCAGCTGAGATGTATGCTTATTCTTTACCCTCTTTAACCTGTAGATGATGATCAGCATGCAGAGAGGCAGAGAGGAAGAACACAAAGCAGTCATTTCTTCTCTCTCCAGAAAAGACTGCCGAAGAGTAAACAGGCACTCTGTACTCAAGTTCACATCTACACTCTGTCCACCTGATGGCCGGGGGGGGGGGGGGGGACACACACACACACGACTCTGTTTCCTCCTTGGTAAAAAGGAGCCGAGATTGCCCACCTCCCAGGATGGTTGTGAGAGTGAAATGTGCAAGCACAAAACAAGCACCTAGCACAGTGCCTGGCACCTTGAAGACACCCAGGAACCACTGGTCTCCCTCCTGCCTTTAAGTGTCCTTAGTCCACAAAGACCGAGACCTTTGGAAAATCATGAACATTTAGTATATACCAGATCCTGATTTGAGCACTTTTCACATATGAGCTCATTTAATGGATAGATACTCATACTATTCTAATTCTGTCGACAAGGAAGCTGAAGCCCAGAGGAGTCAACTAGTTTGCCCAAGGTCAGACAACCAGGTAGGGGCAGAGGTGGATTCTCACTTGGGTAACCTGACTACTAAAATGGGCTTCTAACCATTGCAATATTCTAGACATCCCATGACTACAAATGCCAGAGAGAATAGTATTCATGTACGAACTCCTAGAACCTAGCTTTCTCAAGTTGGGAAGATGCAGGAATTCTTTTTGGGGGGTGGGTGCATAATAGGACGTGGAAATTGTAAAAGGGATGGGCAAAAAAAAGACTTCTGAGTAGCCAGCAAACTCAGTCCAACATTTAGAATGAAAGAAAGCATGGGGCGGGGGAGGGTATTTCAGGTAAATACCTTTCTCCTCTGAGCAGGGATTCTGGATCACTATGGGGTGGGGTGGGAGGAGGCCAGCACTTGTGGGGTCCACTTTTCATTCATCTAACAGGTCAGGAGAAACTTTAACAAGATTAACTGCTGCTCAGGGCCTCTGCTCCATGGAGCAAATTGAACTCATTGTTTTCTTTCTCTTTCAAACTGGAGGGCCCTGGGGGGGAGGAGGGAGCACTTGGGGACAAGGGGCAGGGGTCTGGATCCTGGATGGTATGGTAAAAAAAAACAAAGGGATGCATCAGAAAACCCCCACCCCAGGACTTGAAAGATAGCCCCAATAGTCATGCATAAAGACTGAAGGCTGTGCCTGGGTGCTGGGTCTGTGAGGGGTGATGGTGTTTATTAGACATGTTCTCTCCATGGTGTAAGGGATGAGGCATGAAAGTCAGGATGCCTGGGATTGAATCCCCGTTCCTGCCACTAAAGACCTGTCATCCAGGACACAATCTTCCTCTGTTCCTATCTCTGCCTCCCTATTCAGCCAGAGAGAGAACTAGCAGCAGTAGCCTCCCAGCACCCTGATCCCAGTAGCCTTAAAGTATCAAGTCCAACCCTTGTTGGGGGTCATCCAGAAAATCCTGCACATGGCACTTTCTCTAACTTTACCTTTGTTTTTACCTGCACACGCCTTTCCTTTTATACTTATTAATATATATCTGTTTTCATATATATATATATATATATATATATATATATATATATATATACACACACACACACACACACACACACACACACACATATATATTCCCCCCACCCTTCCTTTTTGGGAAAATAAAAGGCATGTTTTCTGGGCTTCGGAAGCAAACCATTCCTTCCCCCCTTCCCTCTGCCTCTCCAATCGCCTGTCTGAACTGGTGTCAGTGAAGTTTGAACTGGGGCAGAAATAGCATCCCAGGCAGATCTGGGAGCTCGGCCCGCCTACCAAGAGCAGCAAGGCCTGCCTCTGTCAGACGACAGACCCGGTTAACTGCACCGTAAAATTAGCCCTTTGCGAAACCCAGTCGAATCCTGCAGCAAAGAGTGATGTAAGGCAACCTCTGCCTGAAATAGCAGCGCGGTCCCGCTGAGAGATGCCTGCTCTCTCCAGATAGGTGACCAGGGATTCCTAGGAAAGTGGCAACGCCCAGCCTCGGAGAGCCAGCAGAGGTCAGGCAGCAAACTTGGGCCCTAGTCCTCAGGCAGCAGGAGGGTATGGTTAGGCACCTGCATCCCCTCTGCCCCACCTGGGCCCTGCCTCTCCCAGCCCAAACTTAATCGAAGGGAGAAAGGGAGAAGCTGAAAAAGTGCTTCTGCAAAGAACCTCTGTTTGTTTGCTTTTTAATTCAAGGAGAAGCAGGTTCTTTTTCGTCAGTCTCTCCCCGTGTGGAGGATACGCAGAATGAGTCTTTTCTGGCTCAATGCCAGGTGTTTACACACCGCCAAATCTGGCTCCAACTCAACTAGGGGAGGGGAAAAAAAAATCCACCAGTATCCTCCCGAGAAAAGCTCCTGGTTTTCTGGTGCTGCGCTACAGCAGTGCTTTTTTTTTTTTTTTTTTTTTTTCCCCTTTTTGAGAGGAATGTTATTTCCACACATAAAATGGACCAGGCATTTTATACAAGCAATAATAACTTAGCGTCCCCCATCCAATTAAAGTATTTTACTGCACAAATCTTTGTGTGGGAGAGTGACGGAGTGCAAAGGAGAACACGTGTGGAGAGGGGCTCCTTGTCTGAATTACAATTGCAAGCACGCTCCTGTGCAATCCCAGGTGTTACATATATGTTTAAATGCATTTACTGCCTTTTCAGCGATGATACCTCTATAAGCCTGGGCTCTCCCCTCTGGAAGGGAAGCCTTCCAAATCATTGGTTATGACAGGTAAACACGGGGAAAAAACAGATCCTCTCATCTTTTAAAAATCCTCTCTAAGCAGCAGGCTCTATGCTTCTCCGATGTTCCCAGAGAGAAGTAAACATACCGCAGTCCTGAATTATCATCATCACCATTATTATGAATAACGTCTCTCCTCTACCCTATATTATATCCCGCTCTGGGTGATGAGGGCTTGGGGGCTGAAAGTGAATGAGCTCACTTTCTCTCTCCTTCCTGGGGAAAACGGAGGAAAAAAATAGCATGCGATGACGTCAGGTATGGGGGGGGGAAGAAATCACTTTCTAGTTCTTGGTTTGGTAGCAGGAGAGTGGGAGCTTTAGGGGCACATTCTCCGCACAGTAATTGAGTTGGGGGTCCTCTGAAATGGGCTTCATGTAAACAGGACAGAGTCAGAGCTACCTGGGAGGGAGTCCACCCAGAAAGGAGCAGAGCTTCGGAAGAGCTTAGAGCTCTCCCTTCTAAGAAAGTGTGTGTGTCAGGGGGTGGGATCGCAAAACGCTTCCTCAAGTTCCTGGCTGCAGCTGAGGGGGAACCCCTTCTCTGGCTTTAAGACATCCCAGGACTTGGCAAGGCTGTTTGTGCAGGAAGGGAATCTCCCAGCCAGAAGAGGCAAAACTTTCCTTCTCTCCTCCAGCGCCACCCCACCTCGGTCCCCCGGTTTTATTAAAGGCATTGCCACAGACTCATTTTGCGAGGGTATGGATTTTGGAGCACTTCTTAGGTTTGCAACCCTCCAAGAGTGTCCGGTTTCACTCTGGGCTTTGCTATGGAACCGGGAAGGGGACAGAGAGGGAGGGTGAGGAGGGAGAACTCAAAGTCCCAAATGAGAAAAGCACCCCGTTCAGCAGCCAAGTCCTGGAAGACTGGCAGGCAGGCAGGCTGTGCGTGAGGAAGGTCTTGCCCCAGCCCCGAGGGGCAGGCAACAGGCTTTAAAAGTGAGGACATGGATGGTTCTGTGTGTGTGAGAGTGTGTGTGTGTGTGTGTGTGTGTGTGTGTGTGTGTGTGTGAGTGGTGTTTGGCTGGGAGGAAACGGGTCAATCCCAGAGGCAGAGATCAAGCAGAGAGCAACTTTGTGGCACTTCAAGGATTTCTAAATCCAGGAGATTACAACCACCTCGTCCTAGCAGGCTTTCAGGATAACCGGGTCAAGTGAAGGGGGTTACCTCTATTAAAAAGTCCAAGAAAGCAATGGTCCCCTAGCCTCTTTCCACATGCATCCCAATTGGGTCACCCTCCCCTCCATCCCAGACAGACAGCACTTTGGACCATCCCGAAAAAGGCTCCTGTTCTCCAGGCTCCCGGGGAGAAGCTCTTACTGACCGACCTCAGGTCTCCAGACCTCCCGGACCGCTCCCTGACGCCCACCCCGGGACTTAAGTGGAAACACCTTGTGAGAGCACCCATTCCTCAGATGGGGCAAAGTGAGCCCGGCGGCTCGTAGCGGGTGCCTCCGCGCCTCCGGATGGGCGGCTCCCGCACAGACACACCCGTCCACCCCGGGACCAGCCCGCCGGCCGCCCGCGCCCAGACCACCGCGCGCCCCCGGGGCCGCGGGGCTGGTGCAGCGCCCGCGGGGCGCCCTCGCCTACCTGTGATCACCGCCGGCGATCTCTGGCCCCCCTCCGCTCGCAGCCACACTTGCAGCGTGAACGCGTCCCGGGGCAGCTCGAGGTCGGCCCGCAGGCGCAGCTGCTCGCCTCGCCCGCTGAAATAGAGCGCCCGGCTCGGCGGGCTCGGCTCCTCGGCGGCGCCCCTCGCCTCCCGCTGCTGCCGCCGCCGGGGGACGCGCACGGCTTCCCAGGCACCGCCCGGCGGCGGAGGCGGCGGCGAGGCGCGGCGGCCGCGGGCCGCCCGGGTGGCGCAGGTGGCCGGGCCGGCGGCGGGGCGCGGAGGGCGGCCGGCCCGCGGGTCTCTCCGGGCCCGGCGGGAGCGCTCGGCCAGCCCGCAGCCCAGCGCGGCGCTCAGCAGCCCCAGGCGCAGCACCCAACTCCAGAGCCGCATGTCCGACGGTCCCCCCCGCCCCCCCTTCGCCCCTGCACTGCCGCCCGGAGCTGCCAGCTTTGGGAGACTCGGCGCCTCGACTTTCTTCGCTTCTTCACCCTTCTTGGGCGAGCCCCCCCTTTCACTTGGCTTTTTTCTTTTTCTTTCTCGCTTTCCTCCTCTCAAGGTGTGTGCTCCACTACCCCCACCTTTGAAAAATACAGCCCAACTCCTCCTGGTTGGCAATTAATTTCTCTCCCCGCTCCTTTATCTGCCTTATCCCCCCCCCCCCCTCTTAACAGCTGGTTGCCTTCCTCCTTGTTTTATTTCATTTTATTTTATATGATTTCTTGCTCTACCAAAAAAAAAAAAAAAAAGCTCCTCTAAGACACCGCTCCGCTGAATTCCCTCCCCCCCAAAAGATGCTCTAATTTATTTATATTTTGCGTCCTTTATAACACAAGCCACAGCCCCCTTTTCCCCCCACCGGTCCCCCCTCCCCTCCCTCCTTCTTCACAAAATGAAAGGAAAGGGGGGGGGGGAATCCCTCAGAAGATGAGTAAACAAGCGTATGCTAATCTGCTCCCGAGCGCTCCACCTTCCCAATTGAATGAGTCCCTGTTAAAACTGCGGGGATCATGACTAATCAATCAGTTTGGAGAGGCCAAGCTACCCAGCCTGCCTCCACTTTGCCATTTGCCTCTTTCCCTCGCTCCCGCTTCTCCACCCCCTCTCTCCCTCTCTCTCTCTCTTTTTTTTAAAGAAGACAATCTTAAAGTAACAATTTAATGAAATTCTGTACACACCCCCTTATGGTCCTCCCAGCTCTCCTCATTCCTGCTCAAAACACACACATTCCTGTTTTTGTTTTGGTTTGCTTGCGTTTGTTCCCTCCTTCATCCCCCCCCCCCTCCTCCTCGTTATTATTGTTCCCCCTCCTGGAGGAAGAGGGGAAAAAATAAAACACCTTTCTATTCTCTCAGGATCTCCTTTGCACTTTGCTGGTAAACCTCATCCTTCGCTATAGCACATAAAGAGTCTTGAAACTTGATTCTCAGATTTTTTTTTTTTAATGCTGTCTCTCTCTTTCACTCTCCTCTTTACCCTCACTCTTTTCTTTTCTTTCCTCCTCCTCCTCCTCCTCCTCCTCCTCTTCTCTCTTCTCTTCTCTTCTCTTCTCTTCTCTTCTCTTCTCTTCTCTTCTCTTCTCTTCTCTTCTCTTCTCTTCTCTTCTCTCTTCTCTCTTCTCTCTTCTCTCTTCTCTCTTCTCTCTTCTCTCTTCTCTCTTCTCTTCTTCTTCCTCTCTCCCTTTCCCTTCTCTCTTGCCTTTCCTATCCTTCCCTCCCTTTCTCCTCAGAATTACCTTCAAGTTATGCAATGATGAAAGTCCCCCTCTTCTCTGAGCCCCTGTGTTGCTGGCTTCAAGGGGTCCAAAAGCTGCCCTCCGAAAAAGAAACCCCGAGGAATGGCATTTTCCAAGGCATTTGCCTTTCAGAAGCTGTGGACTCAGCACAGCCCAGAGCTCTCATTTTTCCTGAATAGCCTCAAAAAATATTCTGTTGGTTGTTAGACATTATTTTTGTTTAATATTGAAAAAATGAGAATGAAATATTTGCCTATTAAAAAAAATCAACCTGAGAAATTCAGGTTCTCTAACATTGTTCAAGTTCCAGGTAAGGACCTGACCGATGTGCTGCTTTGTAGGTCTGTTTTGAACTGGCACATAGACGTAATGTATTTTTGTTCTTGTTCCCCCTCTTTATAGAACTCAAAAGCTCCCCCTTATGGCAAAAACGGTTTTCTTTCTTTCTTTCTTTCTTTTTCTTTTTTTTTTTTTCATCCAAGTGTTTAATAAGTCAAAATGAGTTAACAGTGGTGGATTACACATTACCACCAGTCTGTTCAAATAATGTAGTGATAAAAATATGCTGTGTGAGGTTTGCATGTGGATAGCATGCTGGAAGCCTGGGGGTGAAACGTACTCCACCAATGTGCCACTTTGCTCCCCACATGCTCTGGTCCTTGGGGCTGCTCCAGATGCTTTCTGAGAGCTGGGCTCATTCCTACTCTTCAGGGAGAGGGAACACCAGTGGAGAATAAGTGGTTGTGAAACTCTGCAGAGTTGTAGAATGAGCAAGTGAGTCAGACGTCCCCTCTATAAAAGCCAGAAAGCAGCATGCAGGGATTATGACACCATTCTGAAAACAGGAGAGCCCAGATTCAGATCTTGGTTTGGAAGGAACATGCCATATAGTCCTGGGCCAAGAATGTTTGAACTCAGTTTCTCCAGTTATAAAATGAAAATGGCACCCTATTCTACATGTGTTTCCAGAGACTGGGTGGGAAGAAGTGCCATGGATAAGGAATTTGCCTAAGCGAATCTTTCAATTTCTGCAACGCCAACTCATCTAGAAAAGCCAACTCATCTAGAAAAGCCATGAGGTTGCCATTCAATTAAAAACAAAACAAAACAATAAACAAAGGAAAAAACACACACCTATATTAAAGGATATAAATTATATCTCACAAAATCCCTCTCTTTCCTCAATAGAAGTTGGAAGATGCCTACTAATTCACTTAACTTGAGGCAATTAGTCATTTGGAAACTCTATTTCTTCCAGGGGCTGCTAAGTCATTGTATACAATGGTTCTGAATATTTCTAGAAGTTTGGAGCTTTGTCAACTCTTCCAGGAAGTTAGAACATGAGGGCTATAGTTCTCAGCTCCTACTCACTCCAATACATGTCAGTGCTATGCCCTGAGTTGCTTCACTAGTCCTGCACTTTCTCACTTTTAAAATGGGAATAGGCATTTCACAATATTATTTTGAGGACAAAATATGCTCTTCAACCATACAAATGCTATATAAACACCATTTAATCTACTGCTGTTGTCAAGGACTAAGAGCTCCTTAGGTTCTTAAAGACAAACAACGTTCTGGGAGCCCCGGCTTTCATTGCTGTCCTGTGGCAGCACATAGAGGAATGGACAAAGAGATCCACGTCTCAGAGGTCCTGGAGCCACTAGACTCAGCCCTTAGACGTATTGGGAACAATTGGCAAAGCCTTGGACTGGTCTTTCCTGGAACATCCATTTATTATTCTATCTCACCTGTCTTGAAAGCCGCTCTTTTATGCATGTATGTATCTATGCATTCTGTATGTGTGTGTTTGGTTTTGACTGAGTGGATAGACTGGGTAAACTGTAACCTTTGGTTCATGACCCACTGTAATCATTGGCCTATGCATGGCATTCTTATTTATTTATATATAATAAGTGATATGTCACATGCTGCTATCCTGCTTTTGCTCCCTTCCTTGATTTTTCATTATCTGTAGTCAAGGAGCATTCATCTGAGAGTGAGGAGACTTGGGTTCTCATTCTGAGCTGTGTGAGAATTTGGGCCTCAGTTTGTCTTATGTGAAGCGAAAGAACAGGAGGTGAAGATTCCTAAGGTTACTTCCAAATATGAAGTACAATGGAGCCTTCAATTATTGCAGTGTGACAATAATTGTCATTTAATCATCTCATACTTGGTCAATTCCCTCTCACCCTCCCCCCATCCTAAGGAGTCCCTTCTTCCTGGGGATTTTTGTCCTAAAAACTACTTTTTTAGAATAAAATTAGTTCTGTCCCTCCACTCTTATTACTTGGCAATAAATAAAAACAAGGTGTTTGCCAGAGAAGGGGTCAGGGTCTAGTGGAAGTTAGAAGAGTAACAACACCTAGGTGGAGTCTTAAAGTTTGGGAAGGCTTTGAGGAAGTGATGGAGGGTCAAAGTACACATTTCAATCACCCTGCCCTGGGCTCCTATGAGCCTTATTATGGATGTATCCGGAGGCAGTGTGCTGTGACACGTAGTAGGTGCTCAATAAATGAGTGACCTCTTTTTTTTTTTTTTTTTTTTTCAGGATCTAAATGCTATGCTGCACTTTCAATTAAGAGCCAGAGCCCCACCTCCTTCTTACTCCAAGGCAGAAGGATTAGTCTCATCTCAGAATTCCTAGGCAGGCATTGTCTGGCTGGTAAGATCCAGAACAAAATTAGATCTTGCATTGTTCTCAGTTTCCTGTTTAAATCTCTCTTCCAAGATTGGAAGCCTTCAGGGCAAGGATCTTCAAGGGCCACTTCAGCCACCACATCCCTCCTCCACTAGCCTGAAGGGCTCCCTCCTCTGGGCTGTCCTAGAACTTCCTCTGAATTTCTCTGGGCACATCCCCAAAACCAACTATTACATTTAATTACATATGTGCTTGTCTCCCCTTTCTGTGCAGACAATGATTCTGTTGCATTCACATTTGTGTATAGATAAATGCTTAGCCCAGTACTTTGCACATATCTCCTGCTTTAGTACCATTAAATTTAATTAAATATGTACATACAAATGCACACATATACAGATTTACACATATGTGTACATTTATATCTGAAAAAATGTATTTTTTTGCTTCTTTAGTTTTTTTCTGTTGTGCCAATATGTTCAATGCTCTGAACACACTAGGTTTTTAAAAATTTTAATAATTTTGCCAGTCTTTCCCAAATGATACACCTATGGACACCCAGACAGATACATTGAAGTTCATTGGCTGCCAAGTTGAGAATCAATAGAAAGAATGAGAACTTGTGAGTAGAAAAAATTTGGATTCAAAGCCTTTCTTTGCTAAATAATGATCCTAATAACAGCTTACATTTATTGAGTATGCACTGTGTTCCAAGCAATATTTAAATGCTTTTTATAGGAATGATCCCATTTAATCCTCCTAAGGAGCCTACAGAGGAGGACCAGTAATCATTCTCTTTTACAGGAGAAAAAAAAAAAATCTAAACACCCTGAATCACAGTGACCAAAGTGGAGAGCTCAGCCAATCTGCATCTAGCACTGTGTGTTCTAGCTTTAGAGGCTAGGAAGAATTCCCTAACCTTTTTTATACTGTTCTTCATTTTTATAGATGTCATAGGGTTACCTGGGAGATTAAATGAGCTGAGGGATATCATGTTACATAGTGACTAATACATATGTC